TTAGGCCATTGAATTTTTTTCAGTTTACCTAATCCTTCCAGCCGCAATATGGCCCTAAGGTCGACTCAGTCTCTAACAGAAATGAGTACCATCAAGATTCCCCTCACACCCCTAAGAGCCTCCACGGCCTGTTACAGTGACAGCTTTTCTTTTTCTTTTTATTACTTAAAATTAATTCTCCTCTAAAATCCCTACAGTGGGGAACTTCATCCAAACCCTCTGAAGAGTGTGTGCGTTTTCCCCTCAGATTTCTACTTCTTGAAGTTTTCACGTTTTCATACAAAACAAACTCCATGGTTTTAGTCCACAAGCGGCATTTCATACACGAGGTATAAATAAATAAAATTGGCCCTGCGCCTAACTTTTTAAGCACGATTCCATGAAAACGTAGTAGTCGGTATAGCGACTAGCTGTGGGCTGGACCTCCAAAGGTAGGAGTTCGAGTCCCGGTAGGGTCAAGAATATTTTCTTCTCTACGTCGTCCGAACAGACTCTGGGACCCACCCAGACTCCTATCCAATGAGTATCGGGAGCTGTATGCCAGAGGTAAGCCGGCCGGGGCGTTAAGCTGACAATTCACCTCAAACTAGTGCCGAGATCAGGAAAATGTGGATCATGCATGAGGTTCCCTTTCGGGTTTAACTGAACTGCGTTGGTAATAAAATTGAAGAAGACAAAAAAAAACCTATTGCACTCAAACATGTGGGTAGTACCCGTATCGTATTCCAGAGGTCACGGATTCAAACCTTGGTCCTGCTCCTGTTCTCGTTACATTTTTTTTTAATTCGCTTAGTGGGGGCGGAGTCCAAACTGGGAGCACTCATCACGGCGGTCACTGATTGACCTATTGTACCTGCCCCAGGTGAATATGATGATGGAGAATTTGGTAGAATGAAGATTGGCAGGGGAAACCGAAGTACTCGGAGAAAACCCTTCCCAGCGCCACTTTGTCCACCACAAATCCCACTTGACCAGACCCGAGATCGAACCCGGGCCGCCGCGATGGGAAGCCAGCGACTAACCGCTTGAGCTATGGCGCGGCCTCCTCGCTACTGAGATGGTTCGTTGTTTCACTTACTGTAATAATATATCAAATTAGGGAATACTTTTACTGTTCACATTCTTTTCAATCCATTATTCACTCATCCAATCATGCGATGTTATATAATCTGAGAAATTGCAAAAGTCTGTAAATAAACCTGGGACAAATAAAAGTACATTCTGCTTTTGCTAATACATATACAGGATTCCGGCTTTCACGTTACCCATAGCGCTCAGTTGTGTTACGTCATCACCATCGTCATAAACATCACTCACCAAACAACTCGTTTCAAGCCGTCACCTTCCTTAGAAGGTTAGACCATTCTGTTTTCACTTCCATGTATTTATATCCCCCAGGGACAGGGTGAGCCAGTTAAGCCCCAGATACTAAGTGCCTTTGTCATACTCTCAGGGCTACTGCGGTCGAGGTATTATAACCCGCGTCCACACGGGCGTCTATGATAAACCAAACAAACTCCTTGGCTTTTAGTCTGCAAGCGAACTATACCGACCGAACGACCGTCGCTTGTCGGCGAAGTTAGTGCCAACTATTGCCGATAGAGGTTGTCACGTGGGCAGGGCGACGGATGCGCACGGTTGTTAATCTCGGTTTTCTAGACCGGAGCCGCTACTTTTCCATTCAAGTAGCTCCTCAGTTATCCTCACGAGGCTGAGTGGACCCCGTTCTAGACTTACTTACTTACTTACTTACTTACTTATTTACTTACTTACTTATGGAGCTGAGCTCTTCTTGAGGAGAATCCAATTCTGCAGCTACTCAAGAATTTGCCATCAATTTATGGAATCCGAAGGTTCATTACAGTGTTCACAAGAGCTCTCCACTGGTCCCTATCCTGTGTCAGCTCAATCCAATCCACATTGTCCCATCCTATCTCTCTAAGAACCATTTTATTATTGTCCACCCACCTACACCTTTGTCTTCCCAGTTCTGCAGCTACTCAAGAATTTGCCAGCATTTTATGGAATCCGAAGGTTCATTACAGTGTTCACAAGAGCCCTCCACTGGTCCATATCCTGAGCCAGATCTATCCAATCCATACCATCCCATCCTACCTCTCTAAGATCCATTTTAATATTGTCCACCCACCTATGCCTTCGTCTTCCCAGTGGTGTCTTTCCTTCTGGATATCCCACCGATATCCTATATGCAGGCCTCTTCTCCCCCATTCGTGCTACATGCCCTGCCCACCTCATCATCCTTGACTTGATCATTCTAATTATATTTGCAGAAGTTCTAGAACCACTACTCCTCAGAAAATTTGGTAGCGCCGGGAATCGAACCCGGGACCTCTGGATCTATAGCCAGGAACTCTGAACACTAGACCACAGGCGGTCCAGAGTTCTGTGATACTGGATTTAAAAATTATTTTTCTTAATCCTCTTCAGTTTTCATACACCAGCTATTACTGTTCCGTTTCTTGGGCTGTGACGTCGTGTAGTTTAATTGCCACGTGCCAACGTTTAGGACGAAAATGGTGGTACTGTCTAGCAGCTTCCTCCGAAACTTTGGCACATATCTATCAAACTACACGGCGTCACATCTCACTTACTGCACTGAGTACTCCATATCGTACATACTACGTACTTTCCTGGCGTTACCGCAGTTCTCTCGACTTCTAAGCCCTCTCGCCTGTGTCTGCATTTTCCCCTTCGATAAGGGTACAATAGCACACGTGTTATGTCGTACTCCAATGTAATGTCGTTACCGAAGGTGACACCTGTGCTTGAAAGATATTATCTCTTGTAAGGGTGACTATAAGACGGGGTTTGTATTGGATGATCGGATTTGTTGCACTTTTGCACTAAGCTCGCAACTACAATTAATACAGGAATCTCGCTGATTTACACAGTTTACAGTTCAACGTTGCACACACACACACACACACACACACACACTAGGTTTCTCAGTTGTCACTTGTCGTATCCTGCCAACGGATTTCAATACGGTAATCATACCAGCCTCACAGATAAGCTCTCTTCTTTTCACAGCCGCATTCTTGCAACTCAGCTAACTCGTTGCCATCTTTTTTCAATCATCTTCGATTGCCTTCTCAAGAGACTTCCTCGATTGTTCTTTCAGCTTGCCTAGGATTCTCATTATATAGCCTCGAGGCGGAACAAACAGAAAACTCCATTTACATTGTTATAGTCCAGCAATACTTCGATTGTTGCTTTCGTATTCGTTGCCGCGGGAATATGTTTACTGAAGCGTTGCCTAGCAATGAATGTCTAATGTGACTCTTCTATCCCGGCTTTCAGGCATCATGTAACATTATTTGAATTTCTATAGCTCAGCTATATTTTGGAGTGGAATATGGCGTCTGATTCCAGTGCAGGGACCTGAGATTTTCATTTTCGTGTATAGCCAATGAAAACGAGACGATATTTATTTTCATGGCCCAAGTCGGTGTCACGGTGGTCCGCAGAAGCAGTTTGTTTTCTCATTCTTTGCCTCCTAGAAAGGTGTTCCCAACTCTCTCTCTTATATGATATCGAAAGTTGGTATAATTTTAGAACGCTGAATTTGAAGGGATGTGTAAGGAAACGACCTCCTTCTAGCTTAAGATATTACATCACATTGTTTCTGCAAGGATTTCAGAAAACCGCAGAAAACCTCCGTAATTATTGTAGACCTCGGGACCTAAGTTTGAACACGGAATATCCCGAAAAAGAATCAATATTGCTAGCCGTACTATTGCGTCATTCAGCAAGATTGTCTTACATCATGATGATTGTCATCATCATCAAAGTCCGTAAACTTTCTCAATGACATTCAGTGGCAGAATTGAATGTTGTGGATTACAGACGCCATACACAGCATCTAGGATGTTTCTTGTCCAGCCATTGTTTTAACTCATTATCTTACACAGTGACAAACTTACATACTAAGGCTTAACAAATTATTTTTAAAATTATCAGCTGAACGGGAAAAAAGCTGCTCGTAATTGCAGAGTTCTTGGACTTTGTCTATCGTCTGCTATTATAACGAGCACAGTGACTCTAATGCAGGAACTACTTTTTTGTGTGTGCCTATTGTGTGAAGTATTGCCGTTATATGTCGAAAGCCGGGGTCGATTGGATTTTAGTCCTGCTTCATATCCAGAAAGTGCCGGGTTACAATATCGGCCAGGAGAATGAGATTTTTTATGATTTTCCCCAGTCCCTCCTGTCAGTTGGCTAGATTCTACCTCAAAGTAGACAACGATCAATTCCTTTTCATCCTACGAATAGACGCTATATAATCTGAGATGCAGGCAGCGTCGTTAAATAAGCAGAAATAAATACGAAATTTCGGGTGTAGATTATCCTCCCAAATTTAGGACTTTGGTTGGTATAGTCCAGTGGCTATATTTCTAACCTATGTTCAAAAGGTGCCGGTTACGGTAGCCGAGCGGTCTAAGGCATGCACTGTCTTCGCTCGCTCGGAAGCCGGAATCGTGCGTTCGAATCCCACATAAAACATGGATATTTGGTATGTGTATATGTTTATTTTGTGTTTGTGTTGTCCTGTGTTCAGGTAGAGGCCTTGCGACGAGCTGATCACTCGTCCAAGTAGTCCTACCATCAATAAAATATTCACGAAACTGAGAAATCAGAGGTCAGGGCCCAAGGGAGCTGTAGAGCCAGTGAAAAAATTTTTCAAAAGTTTCCGTGTTCTATGCTAGACGTCGCTAGACTCGACCTTGTGGTCTACTGGTTTGAGTTATAGCCAAATATTCAAAAGACTCTTGGTTCGAGCTCAGCCATCTGAACTAATCTTAAAATAATGTGTAGCATGAACATAGACAGTCGCCTCAGGCCTAGAGCAGACCCAACTGCCAGATCGTTGCATATAGCAGACTGTACCTCAGGCAAGAGGCATTGTCAGTTATAACGTTGTTATATTGAATTTAACATAATCACAAAACTTAGGGGATCAACATATTTGTGTTCCACAGGTTCCTGAAGAAGTGATTTCCACGGAAATTACGCAAAACTTAATCGGCAGAAATATATTATGCAAGTAAAATTCGTCAATTCAGTTTGGACTCATATATCAACCTCTTTCAAATGGTTTCTGAAGAAGAAGTATTCAATGGCGTGTGGTGTACCAAAGGTATGATGTTTTATAGAATTACACTCATCTGCTTCTGAGTGTATTTGTCCTAGGTATCTAATACTTATTTAAATCTACGAATGTTGATTGATTTTCTTATTTTAAACTACTCTTGCATTAAGCTTCATAATACACGAACACATTAATATAAATCAAAATGTGATTAATCATGTAAATATCTATATACATATATTTTTCCACGCTATGGAGTTCTGGCAGAATATTAACAGTTTATATAGTCCCTACTACGTCAAAATGCTTTTTAATATTATACTCAATTTTAAGCCTGGGGCTTGTGTTTCTTTGATTCAGGTTTTCCATCAATGTTTCTATATACTTGTATATTTATTATCTCTCTGATGTGAGCTAAATGCCTTGTCTTCAACCTCATAAGTTTGATCATTTTAATTATATTTGCTGAAGAACTGAAAGCATGGAGCTCTCGATTATTCGGTTTCACTATGTATACCATTAAGCAATACGGTACAACAGTTGCATGAAACAAGCCTGCAAACAAACAGGCTGCTGTTCACGTAATTGAGAAGTCGGGTAATTAGTTATCGAGTTTGAACATAGATGTATTTATCTTTTCTTCAGACTTAATGCTTTTACGAACTTTATGGAACCTGTTTTCCTACTTATTTAACATTATCTGGTATTTCTATGGCGGTTACAATTACGTGTGTGACTGACAGTCGTTCAGTGATTGAGATTAGCTCTTTCTAAGGGGCCAAACTGAGTAGGCGTCTTCCTTTCTCACCTGAAGAAGGAAACAGATTCAGTTTCCGAAACTTCATGTCCTCTATTACCTATAATTCCGGACAATGGAAAAAGTAAAAAATCCCAGTAATTCCCTGTGCCATCCACCATCGTCAGAACCCTTTAGAATCTACTTGTATCTATCCGTCTGTCTGCCTGTCTATCCGTCTGTCTATATTCTATCTATATCTATCTATCTGTCTATCTAACTAACTATGGCTCTACAATCCTTTTGTTGGACCATGGTCGCTTTTTCAGTTCCTTAATCCTATACACAGTCGGTAGGACTCCTTGGACGGGGATCAGCCCGTCGCAAGGCCTGCACACAGAACAACACAAGCACAGATTAAACGTATAAACCTACAGGCATCTATGCCATGAGTGGGATTCGAACTCACGATCCCAGCGTCCGAGCGAGCGAAGACTGTTCATGCCGTAAACTTCGCGACCACTGGGATCGGCTGTAACTTGCATGATCATGTATAAAGATGAATAACACAAATTTCTGGTTTGGAAATCCGCCGTGTTCGTAGAAGTTCACTAGCGTTCTTCCGAAACGTCGGTAGACTTCTACGAAACTTCATGAACTTACAAACGAAAACAAAAATGTTCTTCAATGTCATTGCTATGGGAACCTCAAGTTCAACATAAATAAATATATTTACATTATTAATTTGCTGTCTACATCTGCAGTTGAGGTTATTTAGTGTCGAAACGTCTGTAGAATATTTATGAGGAAGTGGGTGTGACCTATATTTCAGCAGTGGCCCAAACCGAGTAACACAGAATATTTTCTGATTTATAGTGATAAGACAACAATTTATTTTGTGTAATATTTTAGGGAACAAGGCCCAAAAATACTTTTCAGCACGAGTAACTGTATATGAAAACTCTTCCTCTTAACAGACGAGAAAGCACCAACCACGGCGCACCTTTTGTAACAATGACGCATGCCCCCCTCCCCCTGTCTTATTGCATGCACCAATCCACGTCGATGTCTCGTGTAATTATAGGCGAAATGAGAAGGCGGGCGGGGAGACAGCTAATTAGATATAATTACCTACGCGCATGCAACAGGGTGGAACTTCATGCCCGGACAGCGGAACGTAGCTGTAATTGTTTTACTAATTATGTGTTCCACGCAGCGTTCCTCCGTCTTCCTTAACTTGCATTGCCCTCTTTCATATGTACGCTTATAGCCCGTCCACAATTACATATAAGGCAACTTAAGAACAGGCAGTTCATAGAGCCAGAACCCATAAGCCTGTCCTTTTGCACAGCCTGTTTGGCCTCACAAATCTCAGGTTCTTACGCTGGAAAAGTATGGTCACGTGGACAGCGCTCGTGGTTCTTATTCGACAGGTCCGGTGTTCAAATCTGGACACCCGCTATCTTAACTGAAGTTTATTTTGTTTTCCCTCTGTCTCTACACATCCACCCGATATAACTATTCATTATTCATCGTTTCATTAGACACGTTGTAAACCGAGCTACTGATACAATCGTTAAATAAACCGTAAATAGTTATATTTAGGTAAAGTAAATTTGTGATCCAACGATAAGTTGCAGTTTTACTTACGGTGAGTGTACTAGTCTGGGAAGTGCTTGAATTGGTACAGATTCAATCATACTCGAAATTTTGGGACTGGGCTCTTCCACCCAATTCAGGGCCCAGGCCTCTTATTCAGTTTCGTAATAATAATACACAGACGGTAGGACTCCTTCGATGAGGGATTAGCCATTCGTAAAGCCTCTACCTAAACACACGACCACAGAAACATAGAATAAAGACATCCATTCAGCAAGTGGGATTCGAACTCACGATCGCAGCTTTCGAGCGAACGAAGACAATTCATGCCTTAGACCACTCGGCTACCGTGATCGACCAATGGAGAATACATCACGTAATATTAATAAGACGTAGCAGGGTTATTTGTTTCAGAGAGTGTTCTTGGGTTAAAGCTTAGGGTGGTTACTAACGTTTCGGAGAAACCTGCTGCATTCATCTGTAGGGCAGCTAGCATCACAGGGTATCTCTCTCCAGAAGACCACAATTCAAATCTTGACTCCTGCATGTTCATTAGAACTGCATTCCTTATACCCGAATATTATCAGATTTCACTAGCCGAAACAGCATCAGCAATGTTCAAAAAGCAGGAGAATCTGCAAGTTTGTCAGTACTGAATTTATCTCGTGGTGATGACGGTCACGAACAGATATGATAGAGACTTATTTCTCACGTAAGCTAAGGCAGACTTCCACAAACCATAAACAGCGCCCTAAAGTGATACATTTCGATCCAGAGCACCGGATGTACACGTATACAAATTATCTCTGCAGATACACGAAGACTGAGATTCTGCTGATGTTCGTCTCCGTTTTGCTTCCATTAAACCTGGGTTATGAGCCATTGTTTATGGTTCCAACTAGTTTATAGCCAGAAGCATAGTAGTGACATCATCCAGTAGTGTTCATCCTGTTTGTCTACCAAAAATACAGTTGTCGGGGGATATTTTTAATTGAAGAAAAGATAATGCAAGGAAGTAATTTGTTTCGCATGTACATTTATGGCACTTTTAATTACATTTCGATGTTTCATAAGGTACATTTCCCTTCAAAAAAATCGTGAATATATTCACTTTATTGTGGCCATACGAAATATAATTTTGCTTTTGTTAAATCAAAACTTTTCAATTTACAAAGTCAATAGACTGTTTGGAGATTGCTGAGCCGATAAAACTTAATAAGTAGTATTTAAAAAGAACATTGCTAGCAATAGAAACTTGCACTCTGACATTAAGGGAGGGACATAGACTGAGAGTGTTTGAGAACAGGGTGTTGAGGAGAATATTTGGACTGAAGAGAGATGAAGTGACAGGAGGTTGGAGCAAAACTGCATAATGAGGAGCTTCATAACTTGTACTCTTCTCTAAGTATAATTAGAATGATCAAGTCAAGGAGGATGAGGTGGGCAGGGTATGTAGCATGAATGGGGAGGGGAGGAATGTATGTAGGATATTGGTTGGAAAGTCAGATGGAAACAGACCACTGGGAAGACCAAGGCGTAGGTGGGCGAACAATATTAAACTGGATCTTAGAGAGATAGGATGGGATGGTTTAGATTGAATATATCTGGCTCAGGATAGGGACCAGTGGAAGGTACTTGTGAACACGGTAATAAGCCTTCGGGTTCCTTAAAATTCTGGGGAGTTCTTGAGTAGCTGTACAATTGGCGGCTTCTCAAGAAGGGCTCAGCTCCATGAGTAAAAGTGAATACTGGGAATAGATATAAATCCTACCTGTTGAATTGAAATAGAGTGAAAATTGCGGTAGTCGCGTTGTAACGGCGTGCAGTTCGAGGTGAACCCACGAGGAAAGGAGTGCGGTGTTCAGTCTGAGGTTCTCGCTCCGGTAGCTGTGAGCATTTCCTCCTTCTGGGTCGTAAGATCGTGCTTTTCCTTGTCGACGACGTCATGCCACGAAACAAAATTCTAGGAGGCCGAAGAGTGATAACAAATACGTACAAAATATTAGTAAAGAAACCCCGATGCAAACAGACCACTTTGAAGACACAGAGCATAATAAGAGTGTGAGGAAATGGACTGTATTTATTTTAATCAGGATGGGGACCAGTGGAGAGCTCTTGTGAATGCGGTAATGAACATTCTATTTCCGTAAACAGCGGGCGAATTTATTAACTGACTATAAGCTTTCCATGGAGTATTCTGCTCCGTGCAGAAGTTATGAGAATTTGGTTTTTAGAGGTAAAGTATACTGAAGTTGAAGAAAGCAGTCTTCTGGGATGTGGCACCGTGTAGATGTGGTGTTAACCGACGTTTCGGAGGAACGGGGTGGAACTACCCTGAATATGGAGGCGATATGTTCTTCCGAAACGTCGGTTAATACCACATCTACACGGTGTCACATCCCAGAAGACTGCTTTCTTCATAGTCACCGCCGTGAAAACCTCAAATCTTATATACTCAAGTTCTTCAATGCAATTAATATTTTAATGACCAAAAAGTTTAATTATATAACATGGTTAGGAAAGGATTTTTCCAAATACGTACAAAGTCCGTACAAACAATACTGGAATATGTAGAGTGTGCAGCAGGAGGGAAATTTTTGTTTGCAGAATAGATATGGAACATATATAGAAATGTCTTTCATATACTGAGCAGGAATTCGAGGAGCTAATTTTACAATTCAAGATGTAGCGGAAACATTGTAGAAGTATATTC